GGTCTTGTCCTCTATTGTTTTGTTCAACTTTATAATACCTAATGAGATAGACAATTCTTTTTAAGGAAACAAGAGACATTATGGTAACCATTGTTCATAACCTTGTACTCTGTTTTTTACATCATGTGCTATGTCTATCCTTGATTTTGACTGACAGCTTTGTTTTGCCATATTTGACTTTATTCTCTCCCCAAAAAAGTAATAAGAACTAAGGAGTAATAAAACCCAAAATGTGTAAATTTTGTTGTAAAAAAGAGGAGGAAAAAAAGTGCTCCAAAGGATACAACAGCAAGTGTGTTTAGGGGTGTTAAATAGCTGACCATATTAATGTTTTTGGTTGGATCATTGAACACAGCTGTTTACAGTCTCACTGTTTGAATGTCCACTTTGTATGCTTTGATGCTGTGACTTGAGCAACTATCTCTAAGATGATAACATGTAATCTATTAACTGGTGATTTCTTACTGTTTTTTTTTTCTTGTAGTTCTGTATTAGTTGTACCCTTACACCGCTTTGTTTTGTTTTGTTTTGTTTTGTTTTTCTCTTTTTCCTTTTAAATAAAATTTTAAAAAATAGAATAATGATCCCTCTTTAGTTCTCTATGCCGTTTTTCCATTCATAGATCATATTCATATATATAAATATATTACATAAATGCATAACAATGTGAAGATGACATTGAGTAACTGAGGTTCAGAAAGGGTAACTGACATTCCAAAACTCACACAGCTAGCAAGAACACCGCTGGAAGTTTGGTATTTTGACTTCAGGTTATCTTTCTCTGTAAACCCCACATGCTTGTGCATTTCCCACACTCCTGCAAAGTTGTACAATTTTATGGAGCCATGGATTTGGAAGCAAAATGACTCTTAACCTGTTTATCATATCTTTAAGCTCTTGAGGGGCAGGAAGTACATCTCATGTTTGTTGGTATTTTTGAAAATTATTAGGCATTTTTATAATTCATTCTATAAATACTTTTTGATTAACTACTATTTCAAAGACTGAGGCAACAGTGCTGACCAAGTCACCCATAGCCCTATCCTCATGTAATTTATAATATAATAGACAGGTAAACAACTTATTACTTAGCATAGTGTGTTGCATACAGTAATAATAGTGTTTTCCATTTGTTGAAGCTATTAGTGTATGTCAGACATTGGGCTAAGCACTAGAGGATAGCTCAGATAATACTCAAACCAACGCTTTGAGGAAAGATCTGTCACAATTCTTTTTCTACAGATGAAAATACTAAGGCATAGAAAGATGAAGTAATGGTAAAAGTAAATGTCACACAGACAGCAAATGGGGGTATCAAGATTTGAGGATTGGTCTATGTGATTCTTAGCCACTAATGGCACACTACTGTAATCCTTTACCTGATGTGTTGGATGAATAAAAACCCTGAACAAAAATTATCCCTCTCTATTGCTCATTTCAGACTTACTGCAGACCCAAGACAGTCCCACGATAAAAGGGAACTTTCCTAAAGAGTTTACCTCTGCATCTCACAAAGTTGACAATCTCAATTACTTTTTGTCAATGGGACATGATACCCAACACCTACAATTTAAAGGAGGAGAGGTTTGCTTTGGCTCATGGTTCCAGAGGTCTCAGTCCTTGCATGGCTTGCTGGCTCTAAGGCAGAAACATTGGATGGAAGAATCTGGGCAGAAGAGCGCTTCTTAACCTGTGGCAACCATGAAACAGAGAGAGAAGGGAAAAGGTAGTTCAAGCTCTTCTTCCTAAGTTTTGCCCCATTGATCCACCCTTTCCAACCAGGTGCTGCCTTCTAGAACATTACATTCAAACACTGGACTCATTAGTGGATGAATCCATTGATGAGTCCAGTGCCTCCATGATCCACTCATCTTTAAATACAGGAGGCTTTTGGAGGACATTCTAAATCTGATCTGAACCGTAAAAGCAACAGCATTATTTAGCTTGTCTCTACAACTGTATCATCCCAACAACTGGATAAAAACAAATTTTTTCCTCTCTCATCCACACATGTCCATCAACAATAGCCTATTATAAAAATCAAGGCTTGAATTTATATTAATGTCATTACATAAATTTTTACAAATACACTCAAAACCCTAGTGTGGTCTCAGGAGATAAACACTTCAAAAATAGAATGTGTGTCACTTCTTAGTTCTCTTATTTCATAACCATGGTTCCATAAACATTGGCAAATATTTGACATAAATGTGATTTCTGTTGTATATCACAGTGAAATCAAGACCACTGAAACATGCGCAAAGAAAACAATTCTCAATTTACTTTAATTACCCAGAGACTGATTCGCAGTTGGCTAACGCAAATGAACCACATACTATTTTCCATATTCAATTCATTTTAAAAGGAATCTCAAATTTTCCAATGAAAATGAATATTTGGAACAAGTAAAAGTCACATTAAAACCAGGGGGAAAGCATGATATCTTTTTTAAAATTCCCCATTGTTCTACAGTAAAAGATAAATTACATTAAAGATTATTTTTTGAAAAGAAAAACAAGCTCTTGAACATGATCCCACAGTTTGAATGAAACTTTGTATATGTGTGTGGTTCTTTTACCTCTATCCATATATAATTATGTTCCCCCATAATTGTATTCGCAGTGAACAGACAACATGGTATTTTATTTTTACCACTTGACATCATACTATAAGTATTTTTGATATTGTTATGTAGTCTCCATTCTAATTTATTTTTTTCATTGTTTGCTTTAATATTCCATGGAGCAAGAGAGCCATATTATATTTAACCATTCCTTTGTTGTTAAACATGTTAGCTGTTCAGTATTGTAAATGATAAAGAAACAGAGACCTCATTTATGGAAGGATTTTCCTTCTTGTTTTGAAAATTTTCTTGTGATAAGTCCCCTGATGTGAATTTACTGGGTGAAAGCATGTGAAATTTTTCACCGCCATAGAAGCGAATTGATTGTTATGGGGCAAATCTCTTGCTTATCCTTCAAAACCTAGTCCAAAGTTTCCCTCCACTTCTTTCTCCTTGTGTTCCAAGCTTAGTTGATTACTCTGTAGTGGAAGAATTCTACCTTACTTTAATCTGATTGAGATATTCACTGTGTGATATAAGTCAACACAGCTGACTAATTTAAGCCATGGCTTCCTTGTTTGTAAAATAGGGATAAGATAATCATATTTAACTTGCAAGGCTATTGCAAGAAATAAATGGATAATGTATGTAAGGTCCTTAGTCCAGTACCTGTCATATCATTGGTGCTTTAAAAAATGGAAACCATTATTAACATAAGATTGTAGTGTAATCATGATCACCTGTCTACTTGATTGTGAATGCCTGAGGACCTGGATCATGTTTTGGTCATCTTTGTGCCCCAACATATAGCATAATGCCTGGCACACAAAAGGCATTCAGCTGAAACACTTATTGAATGGATAGATAAATAAATGAGTGAATCAAAGGAGTCAAAAAATTTAGACTAACACCAGTACTACTTGAAAATACCATTTTTGCACAAACCCACCAGCACTGAATATTTATGCTTAATATATACAAACAAAGGTAAATTTAGTTTTCAGCATACCTAAGGTTTTCCCTCCCAACTAATATAAAAGATGAATTATGCTTCAGGGGAAAGTTACAATTTTTACTCTATAGTAAAATATTGAGAATGCAGTATACCCACTGGCTACATATGGCTATTTAAATTTAACATTTACTTTTTAATAAGTGCTAAGGGTGTAGCTTAGTGGTAGAGGACTTACCCAACATACATAAGGCCCTGGGTTCAATCCCTGGCACCACAAGGGAAAGAAACTCAGTAATAATGAAATACAATTATGTTTGAAGTTCAGTTTCTCAGCCTCATTAGTTCAAATGTTCAATGAGTGTTCAATAAGTCCCATGTGCCTAATGGCTACCACACTGAATAATGCAAAAAGTTCTATTAGATAATGCTGATCTAATTTTGATTACCCAAAAGTAATTTCCGTTTGGTTTCGAAAAACACTTTATGACTAAACTACACTAAAGCTTACTGGAAAAGTTGCATTTGATTTAGAACAATTTAAAAACAATTATTATTCCCTGAATACTTGCCAGCTGTGAAGTGGCAAGAGTGGGTCATGAAGATTGAGAAGCAGTCAAGAAAAGTCACAATGACATTACAGTGTGCCATAGAGTTTCTCAAAAACTCAAACACAGATTTACCATATGACCTGGCAATTCTGCTCCCAGATATGTACCCAAAAGAACTGAAAACAGCTACATAAGCAAACACATTATACACATATTCGTAAGCAGTACTGTTTACAGTAGGCAGAAGCTAGAAATGGCCCAAATGCCCACCTTTAGATGAATGGATAAACAAAACTGTAGTACATTCATACAGTAGAGCACTATTTAGCCATAACAAGGATTGAGGTACTGATATATGCTACAGCTTGGATAAACCTTCAAAGCATCCTGAATGGAAGAAGTCAGACACTAAAGCTACGTGTTACATGACTCCATTCATATGAGATAGAGCAGATAAATGGAACAGATAAATCTCTAGAAAAACTGGTAGTTCCCATGGGTTGGGGCAGGACAAGAGGAGGGAAAGGGGAGTCATTGTTTTTGATAGGGTTTCCTTTTCAAGTAATGAAATTATTTTGGAACTAGATAGAGGTAGTAAATTACGAATGTACTAAAAGTCACTGAATTATTCATTTTAAAATGATTAATTTCATGTTCTGTAAATTTCACCTCAATAAACAGAAATTATTGTTAATGTTCCACAAAGATAAATGGTATACTGTTACGGCAAGTATAAAATGGGCAGTGTTTCTTTTCCCATTGGGACTTTATAAACAGGAAAGTTGCAGACTAGGAAAGGCGGTCCTTGAAGGGTATCTTGTCAACCACAGGCCTCTCTGGATGGTCTGTGCTGATGAGCGTTCCCCAGGAATATAGCCCAAGGCTCTGGTGTGGGGTCGGCTGAGCTGCATCCATGGAATTGAGGAATCCTTACCTTGTGCCTTCTCTTTTCCTTCCCGTACTGAGCTCCCTTCAGATGCACGGTCTGTGAGTTCTCTGCAATGAAGTGTCAAGTACAAGTGGAATGGGAGTGGTAATTGGGAAATAAATTAACCCACGTTCTCTGCCAAGGATCAGCTTTTAGCCAAAACCAGGGAAGTCTGAGGATGAGACTGAACCTGGGAACACTAGAGAGATCTTTTTTGCTCTGGGTTCCTGATCCTGGGGATTGTTAGAATTTTGGATTAGAGGGCAATATTGAGAACCCCTGTTCTCAGTTTGATCCCTGTGGAAACCATTGTTTTAATATGATTGTCCAGAAGATTTTTATTTTTCTGCCAGTGCACTGCCGAGGCACTCATGTAGCTTTAAAGTTACCTCTTGCTCTGGCAGTGATTTCCGGAGTAATACTGGCAGGTCCTTTCACCTAGGTTTGCTGTTTCCACATCTGCAAAAACATGGTTCTAAAAGACGGAGTTTTAATGATAAACTGGTTTTCAGGATAAACACCTGGTTTTCAAGAGGTTAGTTTTCAGTACAAGTGCAACATTTAGTACGAATTTGTAGAAGCTAAATTGTTTCATCCTTTTCTCCAAGTCACTGCCTAAGATATTGAAAAGTCTGAATAGAACATACGACCATCGAGATTCTCTCAGGAGAAAGCTCTCTATATGATTGAGGTACTTCCTTAATACTCCTATAGTTTTCTCCCTAGGGCAGAAAACTGTAATCCTAAAAGTAATTCTGTCTGTCCCCCCTCCCCGCAAATATGCTACTTCATCAACAGATGGAGGGGTTCAGTTGTTCTCCAAGCAGTGGCTCAGTTTGCACTAAATCAGTCCAGACTTTCCTGTCTAGCCTCCCCTGTGTCCAACATGACCCGCACTGAGGAAAGACACACTTCAACCTCCAATTTGTGGGTTCAGCTTAAAACTAGAACCACAGATGGCAGGAACAAAACATACGACTGTGAGACTGAGCTCTTCTCCTCTTTGGCTGGAAAGGAAAAGATGATTACACGCTCCCACTCTGCTGGGGGGAAAAAGACGGTGGCTGAGACAGACTAGGAGTTTGTAGAGCCAGGAGGCAGCTGCGATTCTGGTAAACATAGGCCATTTCTCTGGGAATGCAAGTAAATTATGGAAGCTCAGAAAAATATCACCTTTGCAAAGCTGGTTTGAGGGTTGTTTGTATTCGCTGCAAAGTATACTATTGCCTTTTTATTCTCCCTTAAGATAAAAATATTTTTTAATAACCAGACTCTTTTAGCTACATCTAAAGTAATCCCCTCCCCCAGACATGCTCTGTTCATACTAGGGCAGACCATAAAAGGAGGAATGTAGGGGTTCTGAAGATCACAGCAAGTCGCAATGGAAGTAGGAGACTCTCAAGGGAAAGAACCCAAGAGGGCTGAGTTAACCCCACTTGAACAGCCTTTCTTCCCTTCCTAGCAGACTGGCTCCAGTGTATGCTGCCTACTACAACACTGCAGGGCTCTGCGCTGTGTTCTAATAAAATCCCACTGCTGTCTGTCAGTGCCTTCCTGCCTTCTCTAACTGCAAAATCCTTTATGAAGCCAAGAAAAGCATTATCTTCCTGTATGGAGTCCAAGTCAGACTTCTGTAGGTAAAGCAATCTCCCCCCACCCCACATCTTTATTCATGAATTCATTTTTTTATTTAGAAAAAAGACTAAGATAAAAGAGGATATAACAAAACAGGTCAGAACAGAACAATTTAAGCAACTTACTGTTTCACCACAAGACAACCCGACATAACAGTAGCTACCACAGTGTCTCTTTCCTTGAAATATTTGAGTATACCTTCATACACTAATAGTATCAAACATAAAAAGACAGTGTAAAACCATTCATGAGAATGAAAGTATTACAGGGTATTCAGAACCAACTAACAGAAAATGAGCAATGGTTACTATGTTATCTCCTTGTCTATAAAATATTTCGTTTATACTATTATTCATGAATTCATTAATATGGATATATTTCTTTTAAGAAGTATACTTTGTCTTTAAATAGTTCTGTCCTAACTAATTCAAGCATTTCAGACTTGTCCCTAATTGAAGTTCTCTCTTCCTGTCCACCAACCCCCCAAACATGTTCCCAGGCCTTGCCACCATGTAAACCTGTAATCTTTTATGCTCCTATCCATATTGGTTTATAAAACAGAGGTATGCAACACATTGGGAAGAAAAACGGCACCTGTCAAATACCAAACCCTATGAAATGCCTGTGCAATTTCACTTTTCACCTAGTAAATATCCAATTATTTTCCAGAATAGCTCTTTCCAGAATTCAAATCTGTTTCCATTAATATTAAAAGTTTAGAGGTCTGGGAGAACAGGAAGGGGATGATTAAAGGCAGACTGGGTTCATTATCTGGTTAATCACAATCCAGTATTTCCCACTCCCCATGTTCTGCTACCCCCAACACAATGTTGTGCCTGAGAAAAATGTCACACAAAAATTCAGCAAATAAAAGCTTATCCTGTGACACCTCAAGGGTGGAGCTCTGATTTAGAGGGTTTGGAATGGGTATCGTTATAAAAGACGTTTATTCCAGACCATTTCCATTAGGAAAAAAAGCATCTTCCAAAGAATTACCTCTCATTCTGTTGCACAGTGGATACCCAGTATGCTGGCCATATAGCGTTGAGAGTTGGAAGCACCCCCTCGGAGGGCCCTGGCTTTTTTAGTAGATGGAAAAAGGGAGACTGAGATGAGGGAAGGGTTTACTGAAATTGCACATCCAGTTAGTGGCGTTAGTGGTAGAGCTGGGACCAGGACACACATGATTGCGGACGGTGCCGGTGTGTGGGAAAAGTGCCGAAAGGGCCTGAACTGAATGAATTGTAGTCATTTCTCAATCCACTACATCTCCATGGGCTACATGTTAATGACTCATCTTTTATTGCTCCCCAGAGAACTGTCTCAAAGTCGCAGCCAAAATGGGTATTTTAATGCAAAGCACATTGAGAGGCCAGAAGGCAGAAGGAGGTGTCCTGTCCGGCCACTGGCTCCACTTGGCTGGGAAGGCTTTGCTTCAAGCCTTGGGATACTGCAGTTCAGATGCTCAAGGCATCAGGGCCAGCAGAAGCCGGGCAAAAGCCAGAACATTAACTATGGCAGCGCTCGCGTCCTATCTCCCTCCTCCCATCTCTGTATTGGGGATTGAACTCTGGGCCTTTGCATTGAGCTGTAGCCCCAGAATTTACTTTCTCTCTTTTTCTTTTTCTTCCTTCCTTTCTTTTTTCCTTCCTTCCTTTCTTTCTTTTCCTTTTTAGACAGGATCTCACTAATTCACTAAATTGCTCAGGCTAAGCTCAAACTTCAAATTCTCCTGCTTCAGCCTACTACAGTATTGGGATTACAGACCTGTGACACAAGCCCAGGCATCTTATTCCTTTTTAAGGATGAATCATATTTCATTGTATTGTATACCATGTTTGCTTATCCATTCACCATCAATGGACACTTGGGTTGCTTCTACTTTCTGACAGTTAAGAATAATGCTACTGTATCCATGGGAAACAGTCCCTGTTTTAATTTATTTGGAGCACTTACCCAGAAGTGCTATTGTAGGATCATATATTCATTCTATTTTAAATATTTTGAGGACGTGCCAATTATTTCAGAGTGGCTGTGCCAGTTTATATTCCTACTACCAATGTACAAGTTTTCCAAGTTCTCCACACCTTGCCAACAGTTGTTATTTTCTATTTGTTTATTTAACAATGCCATCCTAGTGTGTATAGAGTGGCATCTCATTGTGAATAAGTGCCTGACCTTTTTTATGGGTCTCATAGTCTCACCTTCACACTTATTATCTTAGTGTCTTTTCTTCTTAGAATCCTCTCCCGACAAGTCAGCAGATGATATTCTTGGTTGTACTTGAAGAAAGCAACTTCCTCCACTGCCCCTAGCCACAAATTCACACAGCCTTCTCATGTTAATGAGATAAGATCTCCCTCCCTAGAATCTGACCCAGCTTCCTCTCTGCACACTGCGATATCCTATAGATTCCCCTGCTGCACTCTCCTACTACTTGGAACGGTAACTATCTGTCTTGCTTCCAGCCAGCAAATGGTTGCTGGGTAGACACATCCTGACTGCCATCTGGGAGCCTCCAACCATCTAAGGGAGCTAATGGGATTCAGATGTGTAGGCCTTCTCAGACCCATCTATCACTTCTTCCCAGCCATTGGCCCACAAGGAACAGTTGGATCAGGGCTCCTGCAAGGATTCTTTCTTCATCTGCTGGTCAAGAGACTTCCTGTGGGAATCATTTACATCTCTCTACTCAAACAGCTGTGTGAAAGTTTCCTGGGGAGATAGCGTAAAGATGGGAAAAAAGAAACAACAACATATAGTATTGTTTGATGGGGTATGGGACAATCAGTAGGTTAAAGCCACAGCTTATGCTTCTCTTGGTATGCTACCCACATTGCCATGTGAAGGAATGAGATTGGAAACTTGACAAAACCCAGCAATAGTAGAAGCCCAGCATCAGTCTCTCTTCTCCCCACCCCTACTCTAACTCCTGCCCCATTCACTAAGGGTGCTGACAACCTTGCTATACATGGTCTCCCTGGTTAGGACCACTTCTCTCCTCCATGAAAGGGTTTTGGCCCAGACAGGACACTGTAGCCAGGAAAGCCTCAACCAGAAGCAGGAAGCCCCTATCTCCCCCACCCCCAGGAATTTACCTGTGATGCCATCTTCCTGCCCCTGGAAATTTACCTATGGTGCCAAACCTAGGACCAATGGGCTACCTGTGCATCCCTGATGCCTCCTTAGGTTCAACCCCAAACCGAGGCTACTTACATACCCCCATGCCATGTGTCCGCTGGAGAGATTGCCGGACACCAGTAGTGGGGGGAGCCAGTCTCTCTCCATGTTCTCAGAATAAAGGCTGCTTTTTGTTTTATGCTTCTCATCTTTTGGAAATACTTTTCATCTTTTGGAAATAATCCTATCATTTGGTGCCATGACTCGATTGTCTGGGGATTGACTCCTGGGACACACCCAGTTGAGTCCCCAGCCAATTCACGAACAGGATAACATCCTGGATTAATTTTGTGCTTTTTCGTCTCCTGAAAAGTCCTTGTCGCCAGCTGCCTGCACTCACCATTGACCAGATTGATTTCAGGTGAGCACTCTCTGGGAAACTCTTGGCACTGGGCAGCCCCAGTCGATTGTTTCCCCCCATTCAAGTGGGTCTGTGCATTTTCACGTCCTTAGGACAGCCAAGGGCAAGGTTCTTTCTGGGCAAACTTGTGTCCACACTCTAAAATCTCTCACGTTCTTTGGGTTTGGATAGCTCAAAGCAGAGATTTTTGGACCGCCCACACTGAAAGATTCTCACTTCCCTTAAAGCCTCATGCTTTCATGGGCAAAACTGTTACTGACCCCACATGAGCTCCACTCGTAAATCTCTCAGTGATGACTGGAATATACGATATTTTGGAACCTTAGCCACCATGTGGTGCCACAGGGCTTGTTCTGGACCACGACTTATTTCTTGCCTGAATCAGTCATGGGAAACGTATTTTCTAATTCACAAAAGACGCCTTTACAATGCCTAATTTCCAGTTTACATACTTTAAAAATTAAAAGTACCATAAAAACTAAACAATTAACTTTTTACTGCCAGGAGGTCTGCCCAACCTACCCGCTTATCGGCAATCGTTGGCCCAAGGAAGGAACATTTGACCCCTGCATTCTCAGGAATCTGTATGATTTCTGTCAGGCCAGTGACAAGTTATTAGAACTCCTGTATATTCAGGCCTTTCTTATTCTGAGAACACGCCCGTCTCTCAGTAAGTCTTGTGCTCCCGCTGAGATACTTTTAGCTAACTCTACCACACTGCAAACTTTTCTGTCCTGCCCTCAGGATTCACTTGACAACGTTCCTCCGGTGTTTTCCCAGCTGCCGCCTCCCTACCCCCAAAATGGTTCCTCGCCGTTATCTCCCACTGTGTGATCCTCTTCCCCTCCATCTCCTGGGACCCATAACCCTCCCAGGGGCTCTAATCTCTCTGTTAGCGCTTCCTCACAGTCTCCAACTTGTTATTCTCCTGAGAATTCTCTATCCCTTACAGCATTCTCACCACCCACCCATCATACTAGGTCTCGGTCACTATGTCCTTCCAGCAGGCCACGTGATTGTTCCAGCTTGTGCCAGGAACAGTCGTCATGTTGCAACACTCTGCCATGTGACAGGGCGCTGCCATGTTCAGAAGGGCCACGTGATAGGGCGCCACCACTTTTGGATGGGTCACATGGCCAGGCACCGCCATGTTCGCAGGGGTCTCACTGTCAACGGGCACCCCCTTGTGGCTCCTCTTTGAACAGCCGCCCTGTTGCAAGGCACATGACTCTTCATTGTGCTGCTGACAGCAATCCTCTCACTTCAAGGCACACAGTGAAACGCCATCTGCCTGTGTTTCCCAGGGTGACCAGCAGCAGCTCTATAGCCACTCTACAGATGATTGCTCACACACGCCTACTGGATGGATGGCTGCCCAATGGCCCTCTGCTCCGGAATCTTCTGCTCAGGCTCTACCACCACTTTGGGAGCAAGCTGGCCCAGAGGGACTTGTTAATATACATGTGCCTTTTTCCTTTTCTGGTCTATCCCAGATTGCCCATAAATTAGGTAGCTTCTATGTTGACCCACAGAATTATATCAGGCAATTTGAATTTATTACTAATTGTTATGATCTGCATTTTAAGGATGTTTATATGATTTTAAATACCACCCTTAGCTCACAAGAGCAAAATCAGCTGTGGCAAGCAGCTTGAGAAGAAGCTGATCGCAGGCAAGGGCAAACACCACTGAAAACGACCCTGGGCCTGTAGCTATGCCAGACCAAGATCCTGACTGGAACTATCAGAATGGACAAGGTTCAAAAAAATTACATAAGATGATTGAGTGTCTGATTGTGGGCCTTAATAAGATTGCTTACAAACATACGAATTATAACAAGCTTTTAGAACAGGTCCAGGAGGCTAACAAAAATCCGGCTGTGTTTTTAAATCGGCTTCGAGAAACCTTAATCAAGTATACTAATGTAAACCCAGACTCTCATGAAGGGATGATTGTTGTTAACTCATTTTATTTCACAGTCTGCTCCTGATATTTGTGCAAAATTACAAAAGGTTGAACAAGGCCCTCAAACTCCACAAGGGGATCTATTTAAATTAGCCTTCCGTGTCTTCAACAATAGAGATAAGGTTCAAAAAGAAGGAAAGCAAGCTCAAAAATTAAAGTTTGCTAAATATCAGTCTGACCTCTGAGCAGTGGCACTCAGAGCTCCCAAGACAGGAAATCCACAACAAGGTGTGGCTGCCTGAGTCCCGCCCGGACCATGCTTCAAGTGCAGCAAACAAGGACACTGGGCAAAAGACTGCCCTAACCCTGGCATTCCTCTAGGACCATGTCCATATTGCAACGTTAAGGGGCATTGAAAGAGCGATTGTCGTAGCCGCCAGCGAGCGGGTAAGCCATCCTCTAATCCTTCGCCCTCACAGGAGACTCCGTCAATGCCAGATTCATCGCTGACTGACCTGCTCGGACTTGCTGTGGAAGATTGATGGGGCTCGGGGTTCACAGCCCCCACTCCGGTAAACTTGTTGGAGTCCCGAGTCTCACTAAAGGTCTCAGGTAAGATAATATCTCTGCTTGTGGATACGGGGCCACTTATAGTGTACTTCCTGAATTCTCAGGACCTTGTAGTAAGTCTTTGATTTCTGTTGTGAGCGTTGATTGCCAGCCAAATCAACCTTTGCATACTGGGCCTGTCCTGTGTAGATTCCAGACTTTTTTCTTTACCCATAGCTTCCTAGTAATCCAAACATGTCCCACACCCCTTTTAGGTAGAGACCTTCTTCAAAAGCTTAATTTTTCCTTCACTTTCTCTCTCCCCACAGCCCTAATCCTCCAAACAGCCTCACAATGCATTGCAAAGCCATTCCCTCCCTTTCCTCCTTCTCTGGTTGACCCCATGGTTTGGGACACATCCAATCCCACTCTGGCTGCACATGCCACGCCTGTTTTAATCCGTCTCAGGGATCTCTCAATTTTTCCCTGTGCTCCCCAATACCCCATAACTCCCCAACATTTAAGGGGACTTAAACCCATAATTAAGCAGCTTTTAGACAATGGTTTTCTTAAACCTACCCATTCACCCCACAATACTCCCATTCTCCCTGTATTCAAGCCTGATGGTTCCTATCACCTGGTACAGGACCTTAGGTAATTAACAGTGCTGTTACCCCAACTCACCCAGTGGTGCCAAATCCTTATACCATGCTCTCTCATATCCCTCCCTCCACCACTCACTTTAAAGTTATAGATCTTAAAGATGCCTTCTTCACTATCCCCCTACACCCTGATTGTCAAAACCTCTTTGCGTTTACATGGACTGACCCAGACACTCTCGGGTCTCAACAACTTACTTGGTCAGTGCTCCCCCAAGAGATAGTCCCCACTTCTTTACTCAAGCTCTCACTACTGACCTCACAGAACTTGATCTCAAACCTAGTGTTCTCCTTCAATACACAGATGACCTTCTATTATGTTCTCCATCACATATGTTAGCCATACACCACTCAGCCAGTCTTCTTAATTTCCTTGCTAGTCATGGATACAGGGTCTCTCCTGCTAAAGCCCAGATAGCCTCCCCAAAAGTTAAATACCTAGGTCTCGCTCTCACCCCCACCACTCACTCCATCACCTCAGATCATAAGGCAATTCTTCGTGATCTCCAGGTGTCCACAACTAAACAACAGGTTACATCTTTCCTAGGTTTAGCTAATTTCTTCCATCTCTGGATTCCTAACTTTGCAGCCCTAGCTCAAACCCTCTACAAGGCCGCTAAGGGTCCCTTATCAGAACCCCTGGACCCTACTAGGCCCATACATGCCTCCTTTCATAAATTAAAAGAGGCTCTCCTAAAAGCTCCAGCTCTTACCCTTCCTGATCCCACCCAACCTTTCATTCTATACACTACTTTTCAGGGCCACAATGCTATAGGTGTACTAGGACACAAAAAGGGACCTTCTTTTCAAGCAGTAGCTTACTTGTCAAAACAGTTAGATCACACAGTAAAAGGATGGGCTCCTTATCTCAGAGCTCTTGTAGTAGCTGCAGCCCTCTTGACATAGGAAGCTAAAAAGTTTACATTAGGGCAATCTATTACAGTACACTCACCTCATCACCTACATGAGCTTATCTCACATAAGGTGCTCCCTGCCCTAATGACCCCTTCTCGCCTTCAACAGGTACACTTAGCTCTCTCTCAAGACCCTTCCATCTCTATTGCAACTAGTGGTCCTCTAAATATAGCCACCTTACTTCCCACCTCAGAGGGCCATCCTCACCAGGACTGTATAGAGTTTTTACAGATGACTCCCACCCCTTTCCCTCACATCAGTAGCACATCTCTCTCTTTGGCCTTTGACACATGGTTCATAGATGACAGTTCAATAAACACAGCCAGCCAAAAAAAGGCAGGATACACAATAGTTAACCAGTCAAAAGTTATAGAGGCAAATGCACTGCCACCTGGGACCTCTTCCCAGAGGGCAGAACTTACTGCCCTTACAAGGGCTCTTACACTAGCAAAAGGCAAGTTTATAAATATATACACTGACTCAAAGTATACATTTAGCATTTTACACTCGCATGCCTCTATCTCGCAAGAATGGGGTTTTATTACCACTCAGGGAACCACCATCATTAATGCTTCCCTTACCCTTAAATTTCTAGAGGCAGCCCAACTTCCAAAGCAAGCAGCAGTTGTTCATTGTAGGGGACACTAAAACTCTACAGATCCTATTGCTCAAGGCAATGCCTTTGCAGATTCACAAGCCAAGTTAGCTGCACAAGGGCCCTGCCCTTCTCATCTTCTCCTGTTAGTCCCAAACAGTCTACCTCAGCCTAATTACTCACCTGAGCAGTTACAGCTACTTCATAAACCAGATTACACACAAAACACTCAGGGATGGATTTTCCAGGGATCTAAACTTGTTCTCCCACATCAACAGGCCTTAGACATCATCGCTGACCTACACAACTGTTTTCATATAGGATCACAGGCCCTGTACAAACTCTTAGCCCCAATAGTCACACACCCTTCTCTAAAAGCTATCATTCTTAAGATTACTCACACCTGTGATCTCTGTGCCAGGACCTCTCCTCAGGGACGCATGGCACCCCCTTCCTTTCCTACCCATCAGTTTCGAGGACACACTCCTGGTCAGGACTGGCAGATAGATTTTACACACATGCCCCGCCACAGCACTCTCAAATATCTTCTCACCTTTGTTTGTACTTTTTCAGGATGGATAGAAGCCTTTCCCTCAATCAGGGAAACTGCTGATGTAGTTACCAAAGTCATATTACAAGAAATCATTCCAAGGTTTGGTCTACCTCAGAGTATTCAGTCAGATAATGGTCCCGCCTTTATTTCTTGGATTACTCCACAGGTATCCTCAAGTTTACACATCACCTGGCACCTACACATCCCATACCATCCACAATCCTCAGGAAAAGTAGAAAAGGCAAATGGCCTCATAAAGACACACCTTACAAAACTGACTTTAGAACTACACCAACCTTGGCCTCAACTTTTGCCCTTAGCCTTAGCCAAGCTCAGGGCACTTCCCCGGGCTCCTACTTTCTTAAGTCCTTTTGAACTTATGTATGGCAGGCCATTCTTACTCCACAATCTTCCTACTCCCCAAAATCTCCCTCCCCTGGCTGACTATGTCCCAGTTCTCTCCTTCCGACACCTGTTGCAACAACATGCTGATCTCTGCCTTTCACAACCCTCTGGAGAGGCCAAACCAGATCCTCCCATATCCCCAGGAGATCTAATTTATCTTAAATGTTTTAAATCCACAGGACTACAACCAAGGTGGAGTGGGCCCCATCTGGTCTACTTGGCTACCCCTACAGCAGTCAAAGTTGCTGGATTCCAATCCTGGTTTCACATCACTCAGGCTAAGAGGTGTCCTCCCGGCCCTAAATCTGATTATTCTGAGTGGTCAGCTCATCTTCTGTCACCCACCTGTCTCTGTCGCACAAAGGTCTCACAGCCACAGTTAACAGGCTAAGTCATGTTTTGTTATCCACTTTGGTTCCTAATTTCTTACATTCTATTAATGATCATTTTTACAGCAGGACTCTTGACAGTCTTTCCTAAAGACTCCCACATCATGCGTAAGATAATCTTCATAATGTTCTATATGATAACAGTCGCAGTTCTTTCTACCCTCAGCTGTCTGGTTAAAC